GGGACTCATAAACGCCATCTGCAGGGGAGATGGGGGAAATGGGAGGCATCGAGTGTGAGTGCACAAAAGAGTTCATCAAGACATGGGTTTTGATATGCCTAAATCTAGTTACATCTCAAGACGTGATGTATCATATACTTGTGCTCCTTGTGATGCTTGTAGATTGTTGAGCATTTTCCCTCGAAGCAAATACTTGAAATATTTCTTCCTTGATGCTTACCCCACACATACTTTCTGCTTCCTTTCTACTTCCTTTTACCCCACTCATATCTCCCTCTTCAGTTTGCGACAGTGTTGACGACGACGTTCCCACTTACATTATCGCCGACTCGATGCACCTCTCTAAAGTTCTGAAAGAAATCACAGGTACGTGGTAAAAGGCATGAGCACGTGTCGAATCCGAACCAGTTCGGCTCGAATCGCCTCGAACTCGTCAAATGGTCGAACTGGTCAAATGGTCGAACTGGTCAAATGGTCGAACTGGTCAAATGGTCGAACTGGTCGAATGGTCGAACTGGTCAAATGGTCGAACTGATCATATGGTCGAACTGGTCAAATGGTCGAACTGGTCAAATGGTCGAACTGGTCACATGGTCGACCTGGTCAAATGGTCGAACTGGTCAAATGGTCAAACTGAATCCAAACTGGTTCATGTCGAACCGACTCAAGACCTGTGTTGGACCATGTTGGGATTGACGAGCTACGCGTCTTTGACACGAGCATCAAATATGACGAGGACGGTGGTCATTCTCAGCTTCTTGATGCTCTCATAGAAATGGCGCAGCAGCGCTTCAACATTGACATTGACAACACTGAGTTGTGTTTTGAGTCGACCCAAAGCACGCTTCAACATTGACATTGACAACACTATGATCATGAGAGCTACAACAAGGTAGGTTAGAGCTTCATGTCCAGCATGTGCCACCACCTCGAGCACACCTAATAGGCTATGGGATTGAGGGAAGGGATATAAACGCACTGTGATGTGATAAACCGGCGGAATCCGATTACGTGGTCCATCAGAGATATTTGAGTCGATTCAGAATTGCTGGCAATAATCAAAGAACAGGTGGTGTTGCGTCATCACCTGCAGGCTGCCCCTTTGAGAAATGCACCTGCAGGCTGCAGGTGCACTGTGATATCCAATGTGATGGCCCGGTGCGATCTGGTAACGCTGTCCTTTGTCATAAAAATAATCGGATGTTTTAGTCGAGTAGGGTAACAAGCACGACTCGTGCCAACCCGGCACGCCATCAAAATGGCCGGCCTGAGCTGGGCCTATCCATCCCACTGCTCAGGCGTTGACTAGCTGTGGTTGTGGTTGTGTGTTCGTTTCCAACTTGCATTCCTCAGTCGACACTAGCTGTGGTTGTCTGTTCGTGCTCTAGTGCTCAATTTCACATGATGCATGATTTTACTGCACTTTACTGCATACCAGGTGTCGTTGCTCAATTTTACATGTTCGTGCTCTAGTGCTCAACTTCACTGCACACCACCACACCACCTTGGTTTCCTTTCAGACAATGGAGTGAAGTTCACGGATCAAGGCCATGTGACAGTTCGGGTGTCGCTGGTGCCACTAGGGACAAGTTTGCAAGACGCCCTTCTTTGCCAGGGTAAGCAACTGCATGAGCATTTTACATTCACATTTGAGAGATTGTTACATGAATAAACTTCTCTCACTCTGTTATGCCATTACTCATTCCCTCTCCCCCCCAACCCTTCGCACTCGCCTTGCTCCTCCAGGCCTTTCCACCGCCACCCCTCAGGCACCCACTTCCACTCTCACCAGCTGGATTCTGCCTGGTCTTCCTCATTCCTGTGCGTTCTCCACGCCCTCTCCCACCCACCCTTCGCACCCGCCTTACTCCTCTCCAGGTCTCTCCACCGCCACCCATCACGCACCCACGCCTGCTCTCACCAGCTCGCCGGCTGCCTGGATTCTCTCTACCTTTCGCTGGCTGAAACATGTCACCACAACACGGGCACTTCCAGCAGCAGCGGCAGCAGCAGCAAGTGCATCGAGCAACACACTACGTAGATCGAGGGAGGGGAGGGGGAACGCCAGGAGTCCTGAGTGGGAGAATGGGCAGTGGTTGGGTGTGCTGGTGGTGTCGTGCCGGGATTCGGGGTGCGGCCTGCCACCGTCTCTGCTCGGAGCTCAAGGTAGCAGGGAGGCGCCGCACTTCTCGCTTGCGGTGAGTGGGAATGGATGGCTACTGTTGGCTTTGCGTGTGGGATGAGGGATTTGAAATGCGGCCTGCCACCCTTTTTTGGAATTCTTAGAAGTGATTTCCATCTGCTTGGAGTCCACAGCAAGATGGAGGCTTCACACTTTTTGCTTGCAATTAGTCAACTCAAAAGAAAGATGGAGGCTTCACACTTTTCGCTTGCAATTAGTCAACTCAAAAGAAAGATGGAGGCTTCACACTTTTCGCTTGCAATTAGTCAACTCAAAAGAAAGATGGAGGCTTCACACTTTTCGCTTGCAATTAGTCAACTCAAAAGAAAGATGGAGGCTTCACACTTTTCGCTTGCAATTAGTCAACTCAAAAGAAAGATGGAGGCTTCACACTTTTCGCTTGCAATTAGTCAACTCAAAAGAAAGATGGAGGCTTCACACTTTTCGCTTGCAATTAGTCAACTCAAAAGAAAGATGGAGGCTTCACACTTTTCGCTTGCAATTAGTCAACTCAAAAGAAAGATGGAGGCTTCACACTTTTCGCTTGCAATTAGTCAACTCAAAAGAAAGATGGAGGCTTCACACTTTGCGGAGTTGAGGGAGGCCTCTGCGGAGGCCTCCATCTTGGCGAATGAGGGTGGAAGTAAGGCCTCCATCTTGGCCTCCATCTTGGCCTCGCTTTACTTCACACTTTGCGCTTGCAATGAGGGTGAATGAATGGCTTCAAGTTGATGGAAGTAAGGCCTCCGCAGCCCACATTCCCTCCATTGACAAGGCCTGCCACCCTCTCTGCTTGGAGTTCACAGCAACAGGGAGGCTTCACACTTGTCGCTTGCAATGAGGGTGAATGAATGGCTTCACACTTGTCGCTTGCAATGAGGGTGGGAGTAAGGCCTCCGCAGCCCACCTGTCCTGCATTGACAAGGCCTGCCACCCCCTCTGCTTGGAGTCACGTGAAATTAGAAGTGTTTTGAGACGTCTCAAAACACTTCTAAATTCACGTCACCCTCTCTGCTTGAAGTCCACAGGGAACGGGCAGCCTTCGCACTCCTCCCTCGTCGTGAGTTGTTATTAGCTTTAACGTTGCCGGTGGTGTCGTGCTGAGATTTGAAATGCGGCCTGCCACTGTCTCTGCTCCAACCCTAGGGCAGGGGGGAGGCTCCAACACCATCCCACGCCACCCCATGCCATCATGTCAACCCGTCACATCCCATCCCAACATGGATCTCATCCTTCCTTCAACCCCTGTGCATGGCATGGTATGGCTTGGTATGGCATGGTATGGCATGGTATGGCATGGCATGGCATGGCATGGCATGGCATGGTATGGCATGGCATGGCATGGCATGGCATGGCATGGTATGGCATGGTATGGCTTGGTATGGCATGGTATGGCATGGTATGGCATGGTATGGCATGGCATGGCACCCTCACCATTCAGGAGTTGCATGACGTAGGGAGTGGATCAGGAGCATCACTTGGGCTCGTGCTGATGCAGCAGATGGTGAGTGCTGATGCAGCAGATGGTGAGTGCTGATGCAGCAGATGGTGAGTGCTCATGCAGCAGATGGCGAGTGCTCATGCAGCAGATGGTGAGTGCTCATGCAGCAGATGGTGAGTGCTCATGCAGCAGATGGTGAGTGCTCATGCAGCAGATGGTGAGTGCTGATGCAGCAGATGGTGAGTGCTCATGCAGCAGATGGTGAGTGCTGATGCAGCAGATGGTGAGTGCTGATGCAGCAGATGGTGAGTGCTCATGCAGCAGATGGTGAGTGCTCATGCAGCAGATGGTGAGTGCTCATGCAGCAGATGGTGAGTGCTGATGCAGCAGATGGTGAGTGCTGATGCAGCAGATGGTGAGTGCTCATGCAGCAGATGGTGAGTGCTCATGCAGCAGATGGTGAGTGCTCATGCAGCAGATGGTGAGTGCTCATGCAGCAGATGGTGAGTGCTGATGCAGCAGATGGTGAGTGCTCATGCAGCAGATGGTGAGTGCTCATGCGCGTGCACACACACACATAGCGTAACATTGAACAGTGACATAAGTGGTCTGAGCAATGACATCAGCACGCAAGCTTCATAGCAGCATTAGAGCATTCAAGACTGTAGCTTGGAGTAAGGGAATTGCAGCATAAAACATCTCGCATAGGGAATTATGCTCATACACTGTGCGATGGCAGCATGAGAATGACATATATTTTGGATGTATGTGACTTTGATAACAAAACTTTTTTTTTCTTGCAACGCGCAGGTGACATTAATGAAGGGAGATATTGCCTTTGATTCCCAGCCTGGCTGTGGCTCCACTGTGGCGTTTTCTGTGCCCGTGGCCATTCCCTCGCTACAAGAACACTGCTCAGATGAGGAACTTGTCGTGTTGGCATCGCAAGAGTTGCTGAGTCAGGAAACAGAGTCAGGTGATTCCCCAGGTGGTTCCAGCAGTGCTTGTGGGCAGGAAACAGGCTTGGGAATTTGCTCCGGTGTTGGCAGCAGTACGCAGAATCACAGTTCAGAACCAATGGAGCAGTGTGAAGAGACGAATCTGCTTCCGCAGCACTGCCAGGAGAATTTCCAGGTGGCCCAAGATAACCTGAACCAGCAGCAGCAGTTGCAGCCACAGAAGCCGCAGCAGCAGCCACAGCAGCAACATGAGCGATCACTAGTGGCACTGGCGAGGGTGGGCAGTGCAGGAGAAGGCTCAGCAGTTATCGAGGGAAGAGAAGTAAAGAGTGCTTCAAGTGGGAGAGCAAGCAGAAGGCTTCGGCGATACGCGTCTGCAACAGCAGCCGAAACCATTGCCATAACTACCGGCCTGCGAATGGCGGCGACAGATGAGGCGGTGACAGGGGCGTGGGTGGGGGGGCTGCGAGTGCTAGTGGTTGACGACACGCCTGTAAACCTCCTCGTGGCCCGCCGCTCCCTCGCCAACTGGGGTGCCCGAGTCACCACCGCCTCCCGTGGGGAACAGGCGATAGAGTTGATCGCTGCTGGGGTGGAGGGAAGTAGAGGTCAGGAGGAGGGGAGAGGGGAGGAGGGGGCGAGTGGGAAGCAGGAGGCAAGAGAGCAGCAGGAGGCGAGAGAGCAGCAGGAGGCGAGAGAGCAGCAGGAGGCGAGAGAGCAGCAGGAGGCAAGAGAGCAGCAGGAGGCGAGAGAGCAGCAGGAGGCGAGAGAGCAGCAGGAGGCGAGAGAGCAGCAAGAGGCGAGAGAGCAGCAGGAGGATGTGTCCCTGCAGCATGCGTTCGACTTGGTTCTCATGGACCTGCAGATGCCGGGCATGGACGGGTGAGTGGTCATGAGCGGTGGTGAGCGGTGAGCATGGAATGGTTGCCTCGTGAATGTGGGTGAGTGAGCCATCGATGTGGATGATTCCCGAACCTGAGTCCCGAACCTGAGTGGTGAACGTTTTTTTCCTGTCAAACCTGCTTCGTTGCAAACCTAATCCTTCTTCACTTGACGTAATGCAAACCTGCTCTGTTCCTCCCTTCCGGTCCATGCCTCCTTGCCTTGCCAGCTTCGCAACAGCAGCAGCCATACGGGACCTCGAGAGGAGAGTGGAGTTTGAAGCCGTTTCACGGGCACAGCAATTGCAGCAGCAGAGGCATCATCAAACCCCTTCTGCTCTGCCCATCCCTCCCCTAGAAGCTTCAAACCCTGCTGCTGCCCCTGCTGGGTGGCCTGTCTCCCTGCGGGTGCCCATAGTGGCTCTGACAGCCGACGTGGATCGCGGAGTGGTGCAGAGGTGTGCAGAGGGGGGGTTTGACGGTGTGCTGCAGAAGCCAGTGGATGCCCACCTGCTCGCTGCCCACCTCTCCCACATGCACTTCCAACGCTCCCTCCGACGCTAGCACTCACTCCTACACTCATTCCTTCAGCACTCACCTGCTCGCCGCCCACCTCTCCCACATGCATTTCCACAGCTCCCTTGGGCGATAGCAATCACTGGGACGGTAGCTACTCAACCCCACCGAACTTCCACCACTCACTCAGACGCTAGCACTCACTTTAGCAGTAGCACTCACTCCAGTAGCAGTAGTCGCTCGAACACTCACACGCTCGCACCCCTTCCACAAACTCACTCTTTGCTGGCCGCCCACCTGCTTGCCGCCCACCTGCTTGCCGTCCACCTGCTGACCGCCCACCTGCTGGCCGCCCACCTCAGCCAAATGTACTTCCACCACTCGCTCGGGCAATAGCACTCTCTCCCACCGCACTTCCACCACTCCCTCCGGCAGTGGCCTTCACTCCAGCGGTAGCTCCCCCTCCAACACCCACACGCTCACACCCCTTCCATAAACTGGCTCACTCAGGCTGCTTCACAAGCCACTCCTACACAAACCATTGACAGATTGTCCTGGCACGTTGGCAGGTAGCACTCCCTCCAACACCCACATGCACACACCCCTTCCATAAACAGGCTCTCTCATGCTGCTTCACAAACCACTCCTACACAAACCATTGACAGATTGTCCTGGCACGTTGGCAGGTATCACTCCCTCAACACCCACATGCACACACCCCTTCCATAAACTGGCTCTCTCATGCTGCTTCACAAGCCACTCCTACACAAGCCTTCTCAGTTTGAACGGCATTGCCAGATTGTCCTGACACGTTGGAGAAGGCTTGGTACGTAATGAAGTTCAACTAGGCCAGGTCAGGCCCTACTGTTATTCACCCGACCACCAGAACCAGGGGTTTTTGCCATCGTCGTCCCAGTAAGAAGAGGGCTGGGGGGCTTAACCACATGCACTTCTGCATTAGAGCCAGGTTGTGTCCCAAGTTCTCTGCTCATACCGAGTTTAGGGTTTTTGTGTGCAACTATTGTTTGTACAGCATGGTGCCATTGGACTGTTATGGTACTGATATGGCCCTCGGCCCTATGTTTACGTCTGTCTGATCCAGCCAAACTTGAGGCATAGTCACACATGCCCTGCATTATTACTTTAGTGCACCCTATGGGATGAAGATAGCGCCACGGTTTGATCGGCAGAGAAAACAAGGGGCTGTACTTCGTGCTTGCGGCGTAAGGGAACAACACAGCGCAGCAACAGTGCCTGATACCAAACAAGCGAGGTGTTCGAGCAAGCTTGTACATTCTATATTCCACCTAAAAAGTGGTGTTAAAGAATGCATGGGTTTAGTACGATAATATTTTCATCGGGCGTACATGTCCTATCCATTACTGCTCTGAAAAGTGGCTTGTTGTTATGAGTGCAATTGATGAAGCGAGCGAAGATTGCACTAAGGGGGAAAGGATCAATCATGTGAGCGAAGGCATGAGCGAACATTTATAGTGAAACATACAAATGATAACACGATCTTCCAAGGTAGCTAGTGCAATGCTCACAGCTAGGCTCGAGCTAGTCTCAAAGCGTAGGTCGACTCGGCCAAATACAGCAGTGTGCGGTTTGGTAATAAGAAATTCGCGAAGTGACGAACACTGTTCATCAGTAACCGGCGAAGAATGGTCGAGTGTTGTATGCGTTATATCGGTGCACAGCAAGGAATCTTAGAACCATCTTCAAGAAGCCCTCTGCTAAGTTAATGCATGAACGTCGCAGAATCCCCGACTTCTGAAAAATACATGAGGACAAGGTGTTTTTTTATGCTACCCAGCGGCACCCATCTGTCTTCAATTAGCGTGTAACCTTTCCAGCGGATAAGGTATTCAACCTACTGTGATCTCTGGGGGTGTCAGATCTGATGGCTAAGGACGTTCTTGACTTCGATGGTCGGCTTAGATGCAGGGTGATTCATTGATGGCAGTCTGTGGAGTGGCAACTCACTAGTGGGCGGATGTATGGTCGAAGGAGACCGACCTAGAACAAGGGGCTGATATACCAGTTGGCAGGTAGCGGGAGATGGGCTGTGACGTGGGTGATCATGTAGCTGATTTGGAACAGGCCACAACATCGGGGTCGTAATTTTGGTATGACGGGCAGGCGAAGGTTCTGCATGTCGAGCAGTACAAAGACTCCTGACCGGTATGTGACGGGACGGCGGCGTCGATCGGCATTTCCTTTAATGATGGCATTGGCCTTTTTAATTGCCTCTGCTGTGCGGGTCTGGCAGCTTGCAATTGAGCAGGTCGTGTTGTGTGGGTTCGATGTAACGGACAGTGTAGGGTTCTGTTCATAGTACAGGTAGAACGTTGAATATTTTGTCATGGCCGGCGCTGTGTTGTTGTAAGCAAACTTGATCAGCGGTAGATGTTGCTCCATGTTGTGGGGTCGTCACATGCCATTGTCCGTTTCGTTCGTTCCATCTTTCCGTCGATTTCGGGGTGATATGACGAACTTAACTGTAGACGCGCGCCGAACTGCTCCCAGAGGCAAGGTTCAAAAAAACGGTAATCGTATTATACGGTCCGTATAATACGGTCGTTTTTTACGGCAAATTTAGCAAAAATACGCCGTATTTTTGATAGACATTTTTGTGTGATTTTTTTTTTTTTTTTCCCAAACAGTCCCTGGAATGTTTTCCACATGGTCCAACAAGGTGCACACTAGTCTAATTAACTAAACAAAGGCGTTTATTAGAACTCTACACCACTAGACAACATACTCCCCCTACGACTACTCACTACTCTACTCGTATGCCTCTATCTCCCCCTCCTCTCCTACACACGGCATCCTCATCCTCTACTCATCCTCCTCCTCCTCGTCATCCTCCTCTACCTCTTCCTCCCCGCTCGAACCATCACTGCAGTCCCACGGGTCAACGCTCTTATGAGTCTTCTCCTTACGAATCACGTCCTCCTCCTCCTCTCCTCCACTGCTGTCCGCTGCCTCCTCCTCCTCATCCGCAGCCACAGCAGCACGTGCTTTGCCCTTTCCCTTGCATGGCACGGTTGCCTTCCCCTTCCCCTTTCTCTTCCTCTTGGAGCACTCACCTGTCCTCTTCTTCCTCTTGCCGATGTTCCCGAACCGCTCCCAGTCAATGGTGCACTTTTCGGGCTCATCTCCCTCCTCCTCTTCCCCTAGCTCCTTCTCTGGTGTGGGTGCCGTTGGGATGATGCACCCTTCCTTAAGGGTGCCATTGCTCAGGTCCTTATACAGCTTCGCCCTCACCTCAGCGTTTAGGTCGAATGCGGCCCTGGCCCTCCTAGAGAATGCCACGAACGTCACATCCATCATCTTCCTGGCGGTGAGGCGGTTTTGATCACGCCTCTGCACCCGTGCGATGGCGGACCAGTACCTCTCAACCTCGGACGAGGTGACTGGCTGTGATAGCAACGACACAGCCAGCTCCTGAAGCGCCTTCACATCCCCCCCGTACATCCACCACCACTCGGCATCCGACAAGCGCCCACACGCCACCAAATGCGTTGCTGCCCAACGCGCTTCATCCGATCCCAAACTGCCCTCTCCTTTGTGGAATTGGGTCAGCTGCACACTTAGAAGTGCGCGCTGCGCGACATCCACGGCCCGTGCTTGGAACACCTCGTCCGCACCACGTCTTACCTCGGCATCAGTCCTCACCTCCCCCGAATACTGATTGCGTGGGTTGAGCAGCCAGCCCAGGGCATGTAATGCGTTATGGAGCTGGCCGTCCCACCGTTTGGCAATTATTGCCTTGATGGAGGCCATAAATGCCGGCTTGTCCTTGGCCACCAGCAGAGAGGTGCGTTTCACCAACATTGTGGCTGCCATGACGAAAACCGTAGAAGAAACGAAAAGTAAGTACTACATAACCGGGAAATGGGGGGCACGGCAGACACATTCGCGGATATGGCGGTAAGGGGGAGTCCCAGCAATGATTAGTGTGAAATGTGACGCTCACCTGCAGCCTCGGCGGCCTCGTTAGTCTTGACCGTGGCCTCTAGCATGAGGCCATACACCTGGCCCATCACTAGAGCCCGAGTGTCCACGGTTCGTAGGACCTCGTACACCGGCGTCATAAGGCGGAGCACCGCCGTGCCGCACTCCCAGAACACGTCATCCAATAGAAGCTTGCGGACCGCCTTCCCCTCCTCCTTTTGTGCCACCGCAATCCCCTCCCATTCCTCACTAATCACCATCGAGCGCAGTGCTTGCTTAACCTCTAGGAAGCGGGACAGCATGATCACTTGCGTGCCAAAGCGCGTTGCACCAGGCCGCACCAATGAAAGCTTGCTAAACAAGTCCTCGAAGAGAGTGACGGCAGATGCGCTGCCCTTGACCATCATCACCACTCGATGGACCTGGCTAAGAACCCGCTTCACGGCTCGAATGTTCCCCATATCGTGAAGCATCAAATCCAGCGTGTGCGCGGCGCAGTTGGTGAAGAATATCGAAGGATAGTCCGCACGAAGGAGGTCGGACGCCCGCTTGTTGTTTGAAGCGTTATCCATGACCACCTGGACAACGTTTTTGGGGCCCACTGTCTCGATCGAGTTGCTGATGAGCCCGGCGAGGTACTCGCCCGTCTTCTTGGATGTTTTGGAGTCCACAATATCCACGATCACGGGAGCCGTGTCGTTGTGTGCGATGACACACACAAGTCCGCGGCTTTTCAGACACGTCCAGCCGTCAATGGAGAGTGTGCAACCGGTCGTGCTCCAGCTTTCTTTCATCGGCTTGACAAGCTCCTCGGTGTCGACCTTCAGCTTCTGAAGCAGCGCACCGGACATCCTGAAGGGGGATGGCAGGTTGTACGGCTTCCCGAAGGCGACAGCGGCATCAACGAAGGCCTGCACGGCCTTTGATGTGGAGTTGTGAAACGCCCAGTCATTCTCTGCCACTGCTGCAGCCCAGAGGTAGTCGAGTTGGGCGCGTGCACCGGTGTCTCCCATTTCGCGGATATCCCGCTGCCTTGCTTGACGAGCGGGCAGACCTTCCACCGTTGAAGTGGAGCCATGGACTGAGCT